AATTTCATTAGAAACAGCTGCATCCTAGAGAGTAACTGGGATAAAACTTTCCTCTGTTTGTAAGGATTCTTTTAAAGGACCAAGACGTAAGAGCATCTCAAAAGAACTAGGTGTCCTTCCTTTAACTGGCAATTTTCAATTTTCAGTAAAAAGAATTCAGGTAAGGAACTAGGACCTGTAATGTATGTGTCTGCAAGGTAGACAATTTTAAATACCCTGGGACTGGAAGCTGGCTCTGCCCTTTTTATCTTTGCATCCCCAGGCCCTATCATACTAAAGACTTCAAAAATACTTTAAATGAACAAATAAATGAATAACTAGTCACATCAAATAAATGTCATTATTCCAGCCACCAGACCACTACCTCTTTCTGCCCTGTTCTCTCTACCCTGCCTTTCATTTCCTTTCTAATGTCCAAATTCATCGTGAAAATTCAAGGCATATTCTAGTCTCAAAATCTCAATGCATTAATTTTTTTTATTTTGATATCGTTAATGTACAATTACTTGAACAACATTATGGTTACTAGACTCCCCCTATTATCAAGTCTCCCCCACATACCCCATTCAATGCATTAATTTTTATCTTGTTCATGTTAAAATAAAATTTATTGTGTTTTGTGTTAGAATACTAATTGCCTTATCCGCAGAGGCTGTTATCCATGAGATCACTCGCAATACGTAAGGCAAAGCTAATTGACTGAGTGCTGATGATGATTGTGGTTGGCTTTACACTGTCTTTGAGATTAAATTTAGATGATTTTCCATCCAAGCCTTCAATTTAATGCCAAACTGATCACTAAATTTTGGGTAATGGAAGAATAACCCCTAGGATATTACTTCTGAGCGAATAAGTGATGATAATGAGATAAGATAAAGAAGGAAAAACCAATGTTTACTAATGTATGATTAAAGACATATTTGATATTTTATTCAGTACAAATATTTAAATATTCTTTCTGGAACTTCCTCAATAAATAGCATATTAGCATTTAGAATTATTTACAATATTTATGTGCAGTTCCTCATTTACATTCATTAATATTAAAAAAGAATGAGGCTATTTTTTTTTCACGTAATGAAATTCTGGCAAATAAGATGTTTCTCTTCCCTTAGCTCTGTGCTTGGCTTCTAGAAATCATTAATAAATATTTGTTAAGGACATATGCACCCCTATGTTTATCACAGCACTATTTACAATAGCCAAGAAATGGAAGCAACCTAAGTGTCCCTCAGTAGACGAATGGATGAAGAAGAGGTGGTACCTATACACAATGGAATATTATTCAGCCATAAGAAAGAAACAAATCCTACCATTTGCAACAACATGGATGGAGCTAGAGGGTATTATGCTCAGTGAAATAAGCCAGGCAGAGAAAGACAAGTATCAAATGATTTCACTCATCTGTGAATATCCTAGGGGTTATTCTTCCATTACCCAAAATTTAGTGATCAGTTTGGCATTAAATTGAAGGCTTGGATGGAAAATCATCTAAATTTAATCTCAAAGACAGTGTAAAGCCAACCACAATCATCATCAGCACTCAGTCAATTAGCTTTGCCTTACGTATTGCGAGTGACCTCATGGATAACAGCCTCTGCGGATAGGAACAAAGAAAAAACTGAAGGAACAAAACAGCAGTAGACTCACAGAACCCAAGAATGGACCAACAGTTACCAAACAGAAAGGAACTGGGGAGGATGGGTGGGGAGGGAGGATAAGGGGAAAAAGGGGGATTATGATTAGCACACATAATGTAGTGGGGGGGGAATATGGAGAAGGCAGTATAACACAGAGAAGACAAGTGGTGATTCCATAGCATCTTACTACTCTGATGGACACTGATGTAATGGGTTTTGTGGTGGGGACTTGATAATAAGGGGAGTCTAGTAACCATAATATTGTTCATGTAATTGTACATTAATAATAGCAAAATAAAAACAAATAAATAAATTTAAAAAACCAAAATATTTGTTAAATAATTTTTTTAATCTTAAAAACTCAAAGTTATATTTCTCTGTTGGTGTGGATTGAATAAATTACTCAAAATAACTAATGCAGACTTTACATTAACTGCTTTAGTCTACGTAGTTTTAATATTTAAATAAATACTTTTAGTACATCAATATGTAATATTCAGTATCCACTTTGATAAATTATTTCCATTATTTCTTTGATAAATTGTTTTTATTATAAATTATTTCTAAAAAAGAAGATTAGAGTGAGAAAGATTATTTGAATAGGCTTCTGTTAGAGTATGGCACATCTGAGATTTGAAAACCCTTGAGAAGTTTCTAACATGGTTTAGTGTACTAGGAGGTTTGATACCGTAAGTAATGTTTGAAATCTAGTGACACTACAGAAAAGCACAAGCAAGTCCAAGGGCCGCCCGTGAGACATGGCAGAGCTTTATCTGTTTCTGAATGTGGAAGACGTGTGTGAAGTCTGTTCTACTGAAAACCATCCACTATACATAAAATTTTGTGATAACAGGCTCTATTTATTTTTATTAAAAATGATGATTTCCTATCACAAAATAAGGTCTTCTTATTATGAATAATTTCAACTATTAAAAATTACATTAAAAAATTCATCCATAACCTCACCATAAAGGAATAAAGACTACATTGTTATCTTTCTTTTCTGAGTATTTCTATGCATCATTTTTTTACCTAGCTGTGTTTATATATTACATGTACAAGTTTATAGTAATTTAGGGGGAATGTATGAAATGTAAAAAACACAGGCAGGGTAACAAAGAAAACAGCCAGAATTCTATGAACAAATATAGCTTCTTAACATTTAAATGTGTTTTCTAATTTTCTTTATTTCCCATCTATATTGACATCATCTTTTATATTCTTATTGTGAAGGACAGTTATCAGAAGGATATTCTGGATGGAAGAAGTGTATATTGGGTCTTGTTGAAAGAGTATATTTCTACGAATAGGCTGATTTATTCATTTTTCTTGAACAAAATCAAGGAGTCAAATGATTCAATATAATATTTTAAAGTATGAAAAGCAATTTCTCAAGTTCCTTGGAAATGAACAGGATCATTCTCTACACAGTTCTGATTTTGTGGAGAGAATTTCCCTTTGTGTACCAACTCTTAATGAAAGTAATATTATATAGAGCTTAAGTTCAAAGTCAGGCTCTGTCCCTTGGAAGGTGAGTGACCTTGGACAAGCTATTTACTCTCTGTGTGCTTCATGGTCACCTTGATAAAATGGGGACAGATGAGTTCATACGTGTGAACTGCTTAGAACAGTACCTACCACTTGGTGAGAGCTATATAAATATAAAAGAAACATTACCTAAATTGAAAAAATTTAAGGAGCTCTAAAATAGGATCATATTGTTCCAGGTGAAATAAGTAAAAAGAGATGATGCCTTACCAGGACAAAACAACACATTAAAAAAAAAATCCTACAAGTTCCTGGCAGAAAAATAGGTTCCTTACAAAATCAAAACCTCACACTTCCTCTCTATCATAAAGGGGAGAGTGGAGGGCTGTAGGTATAATCCTCTGAGAAAATGAGTTGAGACAGAAGAAATGTACATTCAAATCATCTTTCATACTAAAAGAAACAAAAACCAATTCTCAAGGACAAAAGAACTAGAAAATCACCATCATAAACCTTGATTTGAAACCAAAGATTTAACCTCTACTTCAAATGACTTAGAGGTGAGATAATTTAAGAACTGAAAGATACAGAAAGTTTTAGAATTGTAAAGAATTATTGTTATTAATGTTAAGAATAATAGCAGTTAACATTCACTAGGTCTTATTTCATGCCCAGTACTTGCTGTGAATTATATCATCTTTACAATTACCTTTGACATGAACACTCTTGTCTCTCCCTATTTACATTTTCCCCAAGATTGCTACAGTTTATAAATGTCTTGCTTGGATTTAAGCTCACAATTTTAATCATTACACTAAAACCTTCCCTTGCTGTGTTTGAACTGCAACATCAAGTTTAGATTAATTAATTACAGCCTGGTGCCGAAACTTTGTCCAGCTTTTTCTTTCCTATTTTTACTCCTTTGCTAATCTCCACTAAAGTGTCTTCCTTTGCTGGCACTGTATGCATAATTCATACAATGTCTACTGCCACATACAACCCCTTTAACCAGTTCAGAAGATATTTGCTCTTTCCAGAACTTTGATTTAAAAAAACTACATCTTTTAATATTTCTTCTATCCCGAATGTTTATGTTCCTCACTTTTTTCAACTGTCCTCAGAAGCATGCCTTTTTTCAGCTTTTCCCCTCTGTCTGCCCTTTTTATTTGCTTTTAGTAATAGCTTCCCAAGTTAATCCTCTGATTTATGTATTTAATTTTCCTTGATGCCATTGCAAATTTAAATTTAAGATGATTAGTTTACTTTTTGACTCTGATCTTCCTCTTCTTCCTTTACAACCCATATTTTCATTTCAGCTTGTTACTTCCACACAACTTCTCTTCGTATGGCATTGAAATCATCATGTCTTCTTGTTTTCTAACATCGATGTCCAATGATGTAGCATTTTTTTCTTCTAAGTAACGTAATGATTAATTTGAATCTTTTTCCCCAAATAATGTAGTTACATTGATTCTAATGCTAAAGGATGGGTTTCCTTTCCCTTCTTTACTGTGGAATTTTTTTATAGGCCTTATTTTAGTCTTTCTGTCTCTCTCTATATCCTTAAACTAGTAGAATTCTATCCAAATTTGTCATTGCCAATAGACTGAAAGCGTAACTTGTTTTTGACCCACTCTCTATTTATTTAAAAGATGGTCACAGTAAACCATAAGATGAACTGGTGTGCATGGGTCTCCGGCCAGTTCCTACTGTGAGGCAGTTTTGTGTGTGTCTGGGTGTCCTGCACCCCCACCCCAGTGGAGGTCTGCTGCAGGAGAGTGTCCCTCATGGTCGGAGTCTCCGTCGCTGAGTATATGGTGCCCGTGAAAGGCTTAAACTTAGTCTCCCTCGCCTTCTTGCCTCTGCTCTTACCTGCAGCAGTTGCCTCCTTCTGCCTTTCCACTGTTCATCCTGAGAACCCAATTCACCCTATTCCTCTGTCCTATAGGAAATAAGGAAAAGAGGGAAAGGAGGAGGAAAGATGGATGAAGAGCATTAGAACTGAATTTTTTTTTGCTTCCTCTTCTTGCATCCACATTAACCCCTGAAATGATAGTGGCGAATCAAAGGATTCACCTCTCAGATCCAGCAGATTGAGTGAATCTTGGTGTGGTTAGTGTCTGTACTACAGAGCAACGAATCCTATGATACCTTTTAATAGGAAATAAATTTAAAATATGTGTTATGATTTCTTTCATTTATTCTAGATTCAAAATGGACACACTTTTCTTTGCATTACTTGATATATGCAAAGAAATTTGTTTTTCTAAATCCGCATGATCCTTTGTAGATCTTTGCACAGACATTCAGTATGGTCTCATTTTTTAAAATTTTTATGTATTTCAGAGGCATGTCTTGTCTTTTCTTGCACTGAGGTGATAGTCACATGAGTCTTTCAAGGCTTATTATTAGTGATGCATATGAATAAATTTGATGGACAGAAATTATATTTCCTATTCCTGCTTTCAATAGTTGTCTGAAGCCATACCATGTGCAGATGCTAATATAGCAGAGGTATTTTGCAACCACTGTGTATCAGACATGGCTCATGTGTACATCGAATAATGTATATTGAGGGTTTTTGGAACAGGGCATTTTCAAACGTAAAGAGCTCTAGCTCAGGCAGCAATTTAATCATAGTATGTGTGACAGGCAACATCATCTACATTTTTCCTTTTTCTGTGGCTGCTATATAAAATTTGAAAACTGAGGGGAATGAGAAAGATGGTAGCAGGATTGAATTTCACGAGGGTAATGAGGTATTTTATTCAAGCTATTTCAACCTTCACAACTGCTTTTCAAACACCTCCTTGTGCTAGTCATTGTGCCAGACCCAGGGTACACAGAAGTTATCAAAACAAGCAACGTTTTTGGGGAGACATATACAACAAATAATCCCACCAAATATATCTCATTTGTGTTGTGAGGAATCCTATGAAGCAAAATATAGGATTGAGATAGTGTATCAGAGAGAACTAATCTAGGTGGCTCTGAGAAGCCCACCCTTGAAGCAGTGGCATTCAAAGTGAGAAATGAAAGAGGAGGTGGGGTTGAGTTAGCATATGGTTGGGGAGGTGTGGTGATGGATGTGGGAAGGCCCTGAGGTGGGAATAAAGACCAGTAGATTTGAATGAAATGCTGGATGGGAATGTGGTAGAAAAGGAGACTTAATCTCTGGTAGGGACTGAGTCCTTCAGATTATGTGAAGGCTTTTGAACTTGAAGCCTATAAGCAATGCGATTCCACTACAGGTGAAAGGGCCATTCAGGAGGTGAAGGCAACATACAGCTTGTCATGAACATGCTCAGAGCAGTTAGAAATCTGCTGTGGAAATTAGCCAAGAGATGATGGAAGCTTGGACTTGCTGGCAACCAGCTATGAGGGAAGAACACAGATTAAAAAGTTGGTATCAGTAAGATGCAAGACTTTGTCCTGTCTTTTAACTGTTGCATTTGTAGATATAAATGTAGAATTGTTAAATATTAGAGGTCAGGAGTCCTGGTTATCATATGGTTCTTCCTCCTTGTTTTACAGATAAAAATCAACTTTCCCAGATCATGAGAGTTTGGGGACAGAATTGGGAACAAAATCTAGAATCTAGTTTGTGCTTATCTTACAATTCTAAAAACATCCTAATATTTATATTTTAGCCTTAGGAAGCACTGAAGTAGCCATGAGTATTTTCTGGTGCACTGCTGCAGAGAAGTCAGGATTTCAATATTCTGATTATATTTTCACAGTGACAGGCTACCTCAAATTAGAGATGGAGTATTAAGACTTAGAGTGACTTTTAGGTTTCATAGGAATCGAAATGCTAGTATTAAAATGCTTGTCTCCTTCTACTCATGCTTCAATTATCTCAAACAGTTTAAATGTAAGGACTGTAGGAGTACAGATTGATCAGGTTTCCTCCTAACATAACTGTGAGACAGATGTCTAGGAGGTATGAGGGATCAGGTTTGAGACTCACCTTCTTCACCCTCGTTCTAAAATTTAATTAGCCAGTGTACCTATTAAACTATTGTGATGAAACTCAAGAGTCTGGGGCCCACTTGAGTCTGGCTAATGGAGTCTCTGGGAATAAGCAGTGTCAGAAATAGATGCATTTGACTTTAGCTTCTTTCTTACCTCCAGAAATAAGCTTTACTAACCAGAAATAGAATTCATGAAATGTGCTGAATAATGGTGAATGTGTATAATATGATCACCTGCCAAGACCTTGTAATTAAATTAGTAGAAGTGACTGAATTTGCCCATTTCCGTGTGTTCAGCCTGCCAACCTCAGCATACTGCTTCGGCATCTTGCCTATTGGTCTTCCACCTAGGATGGCAGCATAAAAATGTGAGAAATCCGATTGACTTATCCATTTAGACAGAATGACTCCTGCCTTAGAATTCACTATGGATCTCACTTCTAAATCAGTTTTGACTGGGGTGGCACTTTAATTCATATTTTTTACACCACATTTAAGTTTTGTTGAGTTAAATGATCCAAAATACATGCATGACTACATTTTTAAAAGGTTAAACATTGCCATAAACCTGTGGCATTCAAGTTTCTAAGGGAGAAACTGAAATTAGAGACTCACCCTTCACGTGTCTTCCCCACCAGCTCTGTATTTTGTAACCGAACAGGCTCTCTGGTATGAAGGGGCCCCGGTTCCACCTTAGCTGGTCGTTATCCTCTGTAGAGGCCCCCATTAGACCCAGTATCACTGTCAGCATGTGCATTCGTGGAAAGGCATGGGGGCTATTATATCGTCCAGCAGGGGCAGCAGTGTTGCTGACCTGGTTATCAACTGGCATTGTTACTTGATTCAACAATGGAGATGTGGGCTGGTGAGTTCAATACAGCTGATAGGACACAATCCAGGCAGCAATAAGGCAGGTCCGTGAACATTCTACCTTCTCTACCAGTTCATCCTGGAACTTTTATCACAGTCAATGGTGAATATACTACTGATCACATTTAATTATTTTCAGGGGAGCTGAGATTTTTTTTTCATTTTCTGGCTTCTCTTTGGCGAACAGGTTAGACTAGCCATGATTTCCATACTTCTACCTCTTTCCTTGGGTATTTTAATTTCAGAGACTGAGGTCAGATGTAAAGGTAGAAAGGTCCTATAATGTAGTCTTTGGCAGAGATCCTTAGATACCCTGGGTAATCTTTTCATGTAATACCAGGAAAAAACTCCTGGGGTAGAAGCTGTGGGTGGCTTAAATCCCCCGGGGATAAACGTGACTATTTTCACCATTCTTTTCCATGTCTAACAATCTACTTAAATAAAGTTCCAGTACGGCACACAGTGGATATCTAGAATTGGGCCAATGGACAAGAACTGATAAATTTGGTTTTAGCAGTTTCCCTGATGCTGATATCTCAGGGTGACCAAGAAACTAAGTAACATTCCATTTCCCCAGCACTACACATGATCTCCATTGAGCAAGATGAAGGAAGGAGTGAATGCAATCACAGTATTCCTGTAAAGGTCAGGGTTTTGTTAGGGTTTAATTATGAAAATATGACCCTTCTATCCCCTAAACATTTACCGTTTTTGTATACATGTTTGTTATTTCCTCCAACTTTTATAGGTCATTTTTATCTAGGATTTCTAGATAAATATCTAGATAAATAAATGTCTAGGAAATAGATTTGATAAGAGCAAGACGGAAGCACTAGGTGCAGGATATTCTAGGGTAAGGAATGGTGGAACCTAGTGACCCAAGTCTGCTCTAACCAACACTGTGATCCAGGACAAAACACTTTACACCTGATCCTCAGTGTCTTCATCTGTTAAATACGTTGGCCAGGCAATAGCTATAGTCACTGATGCCTTTAAAAGGTATAATTCTATTCTTGGCTTTGTTTTTCAAACAGCTTGTCTTATTTCTTTCATGCAGATATTAGTGGTGCCTTTTAATGGCTTGTTTAATGGTGTTTCTTAAAAGTGGCTTTGATATTACCATAATGGAAAGAAAAGGATAGTAGTGGTAGATGCTGTGATGTGCCACTCAGACTTCCTTTAGGAGTAACATATTGCTCCAGCTGGTGGATCTTCCATCCAGCGCTCAGTGATCAGCTTCTCCAGGGCTGCCTCACTGAGAAGAGCCACCTTGCCTCAAATCATACATGGAGATGTTAAGGTTAAGCCTCCTCACCTGAACTCCAAAACACCAAGAAGCATCATCCTTGATTCAGAGCTTCCCATATGGTTGACTAAGACCCTCCTTGTGACCACATCATAGCCCAACATCTTAGAGCCCAAATTCTGCTTCCTTCCCTTCCCTCCCTTCTCTGACAAGCACTGTTCTCAGGGGGGCTCCCTAATAATCTTCCTCCATGCTAATCCCCATCTTAGAGCGGGCTTCCCTGATTGCCCAACGTGCACAGACAGTGTATAATACCTCTCTTTTATTACTGGGTCATGTGTTACTCATTTAAGGTCCCAGGACAGTGCTTTCTGCTTTCCCATAATAAAATGCCTCTGAATGTGCTGGGGCAGTCATTTTCTGATGTTGCATTTTATGGTCTCTTTCTCTTATGTAGCATAAACCCAGGTAAATAGCTTGTCTATACTTTGCAGACTCATTAAATGCATTGATTATTCAAGAAGGTTGAACGTGTTATTTATGGCTTCCTTGGATAAATGTATTTTTAAAACTTCAGTGTTTGTAAATAATTTGAGTTCACTGGAATGATTCTGACAGATTATTTAACAAGACACTGAGTGTTGTAAAGAGGTGGCTTTATTTCATTGCTTGGTGTTTTAGCCATTCTTATGATATCTTTTCATTTATGAAAGCAGCCTAATTTTAAGCATATTTTATTTTATCTTAAAAAAGTACACCATTAAATAGAAACCTAAGATATTGCACTGTGTTTTAGTTCAAAAAGAACTGAAATCAATATATGAAAAGGATAGTGATAGATGTTTTTGAATGAATTTAGCCTACACTATTCAACATTAAATGAAAAGTATGTAAATAAGAACTGTAAGAGGATGGACTCTAGACAGAAGGAATATTTTCTCACTGATAGTCTCTGAGGAGCGTAGCATAGTAGATTTAACTCAGTGTCATCTCAATACAAGAAAAGGAAAAAATGGACCACTGAGACATTCATTGTGGAAAACATCAAATATTTTTGTAAGTTACATTTACTTACAAACATTTTAATTTCTATATAATGAGAGAATATAAACAGGGTATCAATTATCTAAACTAGAGGTAATTTTCTTTTAACGAGGACACTAGTATTCAGACATTTTCCTCTCCCAGCCTCTCCTCACCACCTCCAATTTCTAGACGTCATGTATGATCTTTTGGTACCAAGTCTCTCAATGATAGAGAACAGGGTAGTTATCCTAGTTAGGAATGGATGAGTTACAGAGTAACATAAGGATGCAGCAAGCAGAAACAGAGACCAACTTCATGGGCCACATACATTATTTTGTTGCACTGAGATTTTGCATAGAAACTGTGTTGTCATGCATCACATTCCTAGGCTTCAGGAGCGCATGAACAGTTGTTATAGGCCTGTGAGGAAAATCATCTCAGCATAAACAGGAAAGGATAATGCAGACAAACATGTGTGACCTGTCTGTATCTGACACAGTGCTAGACCCTTTTATCACAATATCCCTGGAACCCAGAAGAGGCTCGAATTGTTGAGCACTCTTTAAAGAGAAGTTAGTAACTTGGCCAACATTGCACAGTTAGGAAAAGAAGTCAGGATTCAAAGCAAGATCAGCGAGGCTCCGAAGCCCATACAGGATCTTTCCATTACACCAGCAATAATGACTATGAGCACTGGGCACCATCCTGGGCTCTTCAGGCCCCATATCACCCCCTTCTCTCCACCCACTTCTGCCTCCTCCTCCCCTTCTCACTTTTTCCCTCCTCCTCCTCCTTTTTGTACATCCGATTTGCTTGTCTATTTAATGAGGGCTTGGGATCTTAGCTACGAACTACAAGGATGTTGAAGGCAAGAAATATGTAAAAGTTAATTACTATCCAATGTTAGAATGAGTAATAGCACTATGAAAAATTTAGCTTCAACTCACCTGAGCTCTCTTCCCCTCCTTAAATAGCAAATAATCCAGCTACAGAGGACTTTTTAAATTACAGTGAGCAAAGGATGAATTTATCCCATAGACCTAGTGTATATGTGTAAGACAAACCCATCACTAATAAAGTCATTTATCACATTTCTGGAATGAGCGTATTAAAAAAAAATCTTGTGCAGTTTTAAAGGGATTTTGAAGTTAATTTTAGCAACTCAAAAATAAATCTGATACACTGAGGTGAATGGTTGTCAACCAGGTGACTTCGTCCCATACGGGACATTCAGCAGTCTGGAGACATTCTTGGTTGTCCCAGCTGGAGGAGGCGCTCTTGGCATCCCATGAATAGAATCCAGGGACGTTGCTGAACACCTTACAATGCACAGAACAGCTCCTCCTGTTAAGGAACTTTCCAGCCCCAAATACCAGTAGTGATGCTATTGAGAAACCCTGCCCTACATCCTATGCAAACTTAGAAAAATGGGACCAATCTTTCTCCTGTCAGATGTGATAGAGTCAAAAGCCATAGGATGTTTTCTTGATTCAAAGTTCTATAACTTTATTTTAGAATTTGATATTTTATTCATCATGGATTTTTGCATTTATATTTTAAAAAATATTTCATCAAAATATCATTTATTTAAACTCTTGAATTTTTGATACCCCCTTGGGTTTTGTACCCAGGGCACGTCTCACCTGCCTTACCCTATCCTGACTCTGTCAAAAATATGCAAAAGGAAGCATAATATAGCATGGTCTCTAAGATAAGAATGAGGCTCTAGGATCTAAATGTCTGGCTCACATCATAGTTTTAGCAGTTTATAGCTCTGTGTCCTTTGCACTTTCTTTCCTTTCATATCTGTAATAATGGAGGAAAGAGTACCTATGTCACGTGGTTGTTTCAAGGGGTCATTTTATCAGTTAGCAAAGAACTTGGCAGAGTCAACTGACCACAAACACTGGCTATTAAAAACAACACTGGACTGAGAATATTTCTTCCTCGTGTCATGAGAATGTGTGAAGGAGAATGAATGACTCTTGTCTGTTGGCTAGTTAGATTTTTAAGAAAGGACAGCATCCAGCCCATCTTTTTTTCTCTGCCTATTTCTAAGCTAAGGGCCACAATCCAGCTCCTTCTTTTTTTGGTGGTCTTATCTGTGTGTGGCTGCAAAGACAGTTAAGCTCCAATTGTCTAGAACAAGAGTTACTTTCCCTTTTCTACTACAATAACAGAGTTTATATATTAACAGAATATTAAAGCTGAAAGCTAAGTCAATAACTTGAAATAGAAATGGAAATGAGAAAAAAATTAATAGAAATTAAGGTTCTAATGAACTATTTTTAAATTAAACAAGTCTGGTATACATGTAAATCCTGGTTATAATAAAATCTTGGTCATTGCTACCTGGCATTAAACAAACACACAAAAAAGCAACATTTCTAGATTCTCTTGTAGCTAGCTGTGGTCATGTGATAAGTAGTGTTGACCACAGTGGAAACATATGGAAGCTTTTCCAAGTTGTTTGGTAAATGTTATTCTGACCTTATTCATCAGAGGCTCTTTTAGGATTTTATGAAACATAAAGCTTTGTGCTTCAAAGCCTAAATTGTATAGCTTGTTCCCAGCTACAGGTGTCGGAATAAAT